CGAATCTATTATTTCCCACAGGGGGAATAAACCAATGCCCCAGGTTCGTTGACCTTGTTACCACGGATCTGACGGAAAGAGATTAACCAAATTCGTAGCCTATGAGATGTGGGCAGAGGCGTTGGAAGTGGAGGACCGTTGGTCACACAGATTTGAGGTAAAAAAGAAGAAGGGGGTGCTGATAAATGCACAAACCGCTTTCAAAACTTGCATGCAGGTTTGTTTATTAAACTGCATGAATTCCTATCTATTGAATGAATCGAACTGGGGTCGCATTAGTCAACCATCGTTGGAGATTTAACGAACAATAAAGCAAGCCCTATTGGTGAAATAAAAGTTAAACTAATTAAGTGGGTGCTAAAGTCCGTTTTGACGTAAACAACCACTTCCATGATTCAGTGATCTAACGTTCAGCAGGTTGGACAATACCAAGGCTATCCACCAAGGGATAAAATTAATCACTCTGGTGGAAATGCAAGTAAAACAATAAAAGAGTTCCACGAAGCGTTTGTCCTGTTCAGTTTACTTCGTTGCCTTGGTGGCACATTAGCCTATCAAAAGACACATATTCGAAATTGCCGCATATTGGTAAAGTGTTTATTAATATAATTTTTACTTCAGTTAACTTGCTGTTTCCTCTCAATAGAATACACATCCTTTTGGACTGATTGACAGCCAGTCATTGTCGTGTGGTACCAAAAGAGGATGCTTTTTCAGGATTCATGCCTCCAAATTCTGCAATAGCCCTTCGTGTCTTGTAATAACCACGTGGCGATCCCATGAAGAACCACAAGGCAATAGTTTAAAAGAGCTTGCAACAGGAGCAGGTAATATTACAGGACAACCAATGAATTTCACGAATAGCATTAAAACGCCTCTAACCCGAGAACTGAGTCCAATAATTCGGCCTCAAATACAAACTAAGTTGTAATTATGAAATTTTTGTAGTTTGCTGCAAATCACTTTTGTCAGTCTCGATTTCAAGGACATTCGCTCCTGTTGACGATTGACCTGCAAGCGCATACAATTTGCAATCGATTACTCTAGTTAGCGATCGATAATCATGCTTCCAGCAAATATTGCTCAATGGCCACGTGAGTTCAATACAAGGTTGTATTTTTCGGAAACCTGGTGAGATAAAATTGCTACCAAACGTGTTTTTTGTTTCCAAACTGGTCGTAATTTGGTCGGTTTACTGTCCCCCTTTAATGTTTCAAATTGATCCGCATTCGACTTATGAAAAAATTCATCTCGTATGACTAATTGACTGATCCACACAATGGCATATTACGTTGTTGAGTTTGGAGCAGATGAGAAGGCTTTTTCTCGCTGCTAGAATTCTATCCGCAAACCAAATATCAGGTCTTTAAATTTGCTGGGTAAATAGCAGATGCACAAGAAATGGATATATGTTCTTTTTGGAATCTATTGGGTTACGGAAGCCAAACGATTTAAAACAAGAAGAATGTTCTTACCCAACTTGTCTCAGACAAGACCAACAAACATGCAGGTAATTGTAGTATTTGAACTCAGTCATATGTGAGTTGTAAGCTCTTTCTTGTCCAGTATGTGTGTGATTAGGAGCTTTCATTCTGACATTATTTATTCATGTGTTCACCGCGGTAAGTCCACAAACCTCACATTGCTCCTTTTTGCACCTAAATGTAGCTTGCGACTTTAAACCGAATTGAGCGATGTTTAGCCTGGTCATTTTCTAGTCTACCGTGAAAAAAGGCAAATTTACAAATGATAATAATCCCAATTATTAGTTCGCTTGGTGAATCCGCGTATGTGCGTTCGTGATGGTAATCAAGTGCCATATCACAAAAATTCTGGGTCCATTGCTTTTGGTACCGATCGGTAAGCAGATGTTCGTTTTTCGTTTTTATTGGTGGATGAAACGCCTGTTATGCACCACGCATTTTCTTTTTGTTCTTAAGAAAATGGGTTGCAAAATATTAGGGTTGCAGAAAGTAGAACGGCCAAATGAGCAAATGTCGTCATGTTATTATAGAACTACATGCAATGCAAACAGTGTGAAGTGTGTGTTATAGAATTTGTAAGTTGAAAACTACTCTCTTGACACTTAACTTGCCCTAGAATCCTGAAATAGTTCTTAATTTTCACTTTGCTGAAACCAGAATGTGGGGGAACTCTGTGGCCTAGCTTGTGCAGTGTATTCCTTACGCTCTTATATAACACTAACTTTGCTCTAGTTGGAAGTGGCTTATGTAAAATTTATCATTTTATTCCTGTATTATTCTTTATTTTGCTGTTCAAGCTCGGTATTAATGACAAGCGACTGCATTTAATGTAAAAATTTGCAGTTTAGTCAGCTTATTATTGTAATATTTATTGCTTAAGGTAACCACAATAAACGTTATGCTGTTCTTCGACTTACGCACGTAAAGTTGTTTGCATTCAAAATTGTAATTTTACAGCTTTTGAGCAATTAGGAGGTCACTGTGTATGTAGGTGTGTATTCTGCGTGACAAAACTTAACACAGATATCATAGACCAAATTCTAACACCGAGGATGCCGACATCCTTCTTGAATTGCTTTTCTAACTTCCTGAAAACATGTTCCGTTACACCCAGGTCCGGCTGCTGACTGGTGAAATTTGGATGAATACGACTCCAGCAGATTTGCAGGCTTCGACGGCGGCCATATTTATCAGTTTTTAAAGATTGTCGCATCCTGGTTGCGCTTTAGCTGTAAAATTAGGCATGTTAGCTCGTCGTGTTGTCGAGCGTTTGGCGTGGCCATGGACGAAAAGAAACGACTCGTCTTTGGGTCTATACTCACACGGCTTTTTACGCGCGCAATTCATTCTTCTTCTTCTTCTTCTTGTAAAGTGAAAAGTAGCTTGCATCAGGTATTTTACAGGTTTATTTATCTGGGGTTAACCTGCGAACTAAGCTAAGGTTCATTTATTGTGCTATATTAGGATCAGCTACTCAAATGGTGTTTCGACAAACTTGTATGCGAATTCTTCTCGACAGTCCTAGTCAACTTCGATCTATGAGTCTCGACAGAGCATTTGGTAGCTTCTTTCAGACTTCGATATTTGATCTTTTGAGAACAACAATCAAAAGCATCTTTAACTATCTGAATGTTCAAAAAGATTTGAAAAGGCGTTGATCTTCGACATCCTGCTGAATGTCGATAGTGACCTATTAATTTAACGGTGTGAACGAGGAGGATTATTGATTAATTCTTTTGTCCCATTTCTTGAATACATCTAATATTTTAGTTAAATATGTTGTCGCGAGTGATAAAAACAAAAATGTGGATTTAAAGTTGACGTTTGATGAATTATTCCTATTGTAAGCCCATTTATTATTTTGTTACTTGATACATCTCATGTACGTCATTTTACCGTGAAAAGGGACCGAACCATGTCAGTGGCAGAAGTGTAGCGATTTCAATCATATCGAGGGTAAGATCTGTGTCAACACAAACGTTTGTTCAATGACAATGAGACCTTTGCTTCCTCTGTGACAATGAGCACACGATTTATTAAGAGCGACTTCACAAAATATCAAATGATCGAATATGTAATTATTTTGTTATGTCCAAAAATATTCAAAACATCCTTGAGAAAGTCCAAGATATGTCTACTGGAACGAAATCAGTTCGGTGATTTTGTGCTCATTTAACAGCAGATTTGACAGAAGGGCCGAATCTAAAGCAATAACATCAAAAAGACCATGACTGAATCAGTTTTTTTTGTGACATGTAAGCACAAGTTTATCCAACAACATCATTTTCTAAAGACGCTTGACTGAATGTCATGGAAATTTACAAATTTTTTTCTCGGAAAACATATGTCCTTACGGTTGCTACAGCACAACTAATTTTTGAAAACTTTCAAAAAGTTATTTCCTGTCGTCACTCGTCTATGTAATTTAATTTGAGAATTTGTGCAATAATAGCAAATGGCATCCCACAAAAAGCATTTGCAGAAATTGCCACTTTGCTGTGTCCTGTTCTATATTTAATCGCCTTTCGCAACAGCGAGAAAAACGTATGTGTGCAGTAAAAAGGAAACACGCGTATCCTACTGAGCAAATGAAGTTAACATATCCGATAATTTAACCATGATAAAAACAAAGCATCTTAATTTTTCCACTCAGTTTTATAAAAACAAATTTGGAGATTTTGAAAACTGTCATTCAACTTCAAATAATGCATTGATGTGCGCTCCTTTTATATTCTGCTTAATGTTGCACTGCAACAGTTCTCGTTTTTTTTGGACTAACCGAGTTATAATTAATTCAAATTACTTGCACCTTTATAAACACTTCTTTCTTGGCGGTGATTGGTTGTCGCATCAGTGAGTCTCTTGACTGTTTAATTTTTCACATTGTTTTTGAGTTTTTTTGATTATGTTCGCTTTTTTAACCCTCTAATATAAGAGCTGCAGTGAACAGAGCATTTATGTGTGCTTTGGAGTCGTATGAATTGCTTTCTTTCTGTTCGGCAATTGACAGTGGATATTTATTTGTCGGACCACTTTGACTCTCAACCTTACTTCTCTTGTTCGTAGACCACATGTTGAAGTTCATTACATGTAGATTTATCATTACACAATTTTCCTTGTCACTACTGGTGAAACATGTCATGAGACTGAAAACCTTCGTCAAAGCAAACATTGACAAATGTCTTTATGTTTGTAGTGTACAGGAATGGTTTGTGTTTCATTAGCAAAGCTTGTTCAAAAGCCCGATTGGATTTTATTTTGTCCTACGCATCCTCCGTTGTGTCGGACAAACTCTATATCAAACTCCCATCGCCACTTTATCAAGACCCCTGTCTGCATCAGTGGAAGGAATACATATCGACATGCTACTATAGTGCTAGTCATGTACGGAACTCCATTTACAGTCTATTTGTGATGTGCAATTAGGTATGTCCAAATTTGAATGTATGTCTCCTTCTTCCACACACCCCAAAACCGATGTCCTCTTATAACCAGAAACGGAATTTGCATGTTATTATGACAGATGATGCAACTATTGCCGATACCGAACTTCTCCAATTTGCTTCTAATATCGGGTTTGGTGCCGACATTGTACTCCGCTATTCTGTTGGTAGGTCTCCTTTCACAAGCTATAGTTGCAAATCTCCACAGATGATCTACCTTCTGGTGAGCAAAGAAATGGCAATAACATGGCCCTCACATGCCATCCGTCTGTTTGCCTCGGTGGAACATTCGACACCCTCCACCACGGCCACAGAGTTCTCCTGGGTGTTGCTGCCCTGCTAGCTCAGCGTCGTCTACTGGTTGGCATTACCGACTCTTGTCTCCTTAAGAAAAAGCTCCTCGCTCCGCTGATTGAAGCACACAGCAGGAGGTGCTCAGCTGTTTCAACCTTCTTATCTGACATCGATTTCCCCATGGAGAGACTTGAGATATGTCGTCTGACTGACCCGTTTGGGCCGCCAGCCAATGATCCTGATTTCCAGTGTATTGTGGCAAGCCCCGAATCTGTCCCTGTATGTCAACCTCAGTTTTCATTATCAAACTTTTCATATGGCCTCTCCATGTGTGACGTGTCAGATCAGTTGAAGACCGATTGTAAAGTTACTCACCGAAATCATAGAACTGTGTTTGGTGCAATAAGATTCTGGAGGTCATTGACGCTGTTGGTTTGTTCACGAATAATGTGGTAGCGCCATTTCTGGAGTGTCGTGTCTACGCATCAGCACATTTAATGTGGCAAATATCCCGCTAATATTTTGGTTAGTTGTGTGTTGTTTGATTTGCGCACAGGTAGGTTTTCAAGTGCAAACCATTCGCCCTCACCATTTTCAGGGTTGTAAGAAAATCAATGAGATGCGGGCTGACAACCAACTCCCTGAACTCCACATTGAAGTAATCGAGTTTGTCCCACGCAATGAGTAAGTTCATAGCCTTTTCTTTAAATATGGCACCAGATTCGTCCCCCGATCCTCTCATTACTTCTGCCAAACGCATTCATAAATTTTGGACTTTGCTGAAGCGAGCTGAGTCCTCACAATGTCCTTTCCCAAATGCATCCTGAATTGTGTTCTATTTAGACGTATAATTTTTACGTTCGCTCCCCGCCTAGGCTCAAATTCTGATCAGGGCAAACACAAACACTTTCATGTTAAGAAGGCCGTTCTCATTCCCCCTAAAATGTTTCTCTTACTTTTTGTTGTTCTAAGCAAACGTGTTGTTGGTTTCGCAAATGTTTTGTCGAGAACCTATTGTTTTATCAAATATCAGGGCATTTCAAGGAAAAAAATAACACTCAACCTAAAGGTATATCCTTTCGCGTTTAGTCATGCCCAACTCAGCCTTCCGCAAAGTTTCGCGGACTCTAAAATCAGTTCCTCAACCCTACGCATGGACCTCCTTGGTCGTAGTTTGCTGTCGCGGCCTCTGAAGCCGAGTCGGCCGAAAGGACGACCCTGGGTTGTTGGTTTGGCAGGGCCCGCAGGCTCCGGGAAGTCCACAATCACGCAGCACTTGAAGAATCTCGCTGGTGACCGTCTCCACGTGTTGCACGCGGACCAAATCGGCCATCAGATCTACGAGTGAGCCTTCTACAACACTCCGCCTCTGTGAATTCTTATTGCCTCCGGTTACGGATGCCACTTCACTTTTTAGACCAGGCACCCAAACCTACACGACCCTCGTTGAACACTTCGCACCAGAGTCGATCGTTGAAAGCGCTCCGCCCCACAGAATCGACAGAAGGAAGCTAGCCAGTCTGGTTTTTAACAAAGCCGAACAGTTGGAACGCCTGAATGCCGTAGTCTGGCCTCGGATCGCCTCCGTCATTGAAACGCAAATTATCGAGTTGCAAAACGACAACCGGGCAGAGTTGCCAATCGTTGTGATTGATGCTGCATTGTTATTCGAAGCTGGCTGGGATCAGATTTGTGATGAGGTAGGCTTTAAACTTTGCTGGGAGTGCAGATCCGTCTGCAGTCGGCAAATACCCCATTCACAGTGCAGTTGATTCGATAGAGCCTACATTTGGAGCGTTTTTACCCCTGTTCATAGGTGTGGACAGCCTACATCCCACTGGACGAGGCTGAACGACGTCTGGTGCAGCGTAGCAACCTCAGTGCGGAGGAGGCTCTTAAACGCTTGTGTTTTCAAGCCACAGGAGTCCTTGAAAGCATCGGTGGTGGCTCAGCGGATTGGTGGACGCCGTGCCAGCGTGGTTCCACCGTTGGACCAATCGCGCGGTCAAATGTGGTGTTTTGCAGTGTATGGGAAGTGGATTACACCAGGAAGCAGGTCAAACGTGCGTGGGAGGACCTGATTCAACGGATTTCTGAGCTTCAGTGATGCGATACCTCTAGATACTTTAGTTCCAGATGCATGATTTTTTGATTGTCGTAACCAAGACGTTAGATTTAGATGTCTTGCTATGGCAGTTTTTAGTAGTCTAGTAGATTTGAATCAGAGTCGAAGATTAGTTTTCGGGGGTGCGTTTTTATTTGAGGTGCACTAAAAGGCGTGTGAGTGGGTGTAGCGAGAGCTGAAAAGTTTTCCTGCATCAAGTCTGGGGAACGTCATGAGCCCCCATATTCCTGTATCAGTCGTCGTACCCTAGTGTGCCGTAGTGCGACATTAAGCAAACCAACTACGGGAGTCTAAAATGTCCCCATCGCATCTCCACAGGTTTAGGTAGCTTAAACAACGTGCCACTTGCATCACGTGCGCCTTTGGAGGTCTCTGTTTTGTAAATTTTATCGTAGAACACCAGTAAACAAAACAATGAATCCACGTACGTATTACTCTGATTACCACGAAAGTTCAGCCAATGAGTAAAATCGACTCATCACCGATTCTACTCAAGGCAGGTGGTAGCCCCAAGAACAATATTCGCATGCACTTCTAAAGGACATACTAGTTTTTCTCTCTCGAAGTGCATACCTAGTGTGTAAGAGATGGATCGGTCATCAACCTAATAGATGTCCTTGTTGTATGTACTTGCACGTTTGCTAACTCATTTGGTATTTAGCGCGCTTTAATTAATGCTCGTCGACCTTTTAGCTCAGTAGTTAAATGATTTTGCCTTATTACCTGATCTCAACAAACTGCTGTGAGTGAGTCGCATAAAATCCATGACATCAAGTTTGGAGTTGCATTAACTTTACAGATGCTAAGCTACAGTCATGTCCAGAATAAGATTCTCCCGCTGTCGCCAGGTTCTGTAGTTAAGCAGCTCAAAATTCGCAAGGAGATTTTAACCACGAGTCTCCACACCTGAAACGTATGTTTGACAGCAAATAGACCATACGGAATCGTATAAAGCTAACCACTAACTCCTGATGTTGACGGTAATGTTTTCTAAGGGCACCTTAATCAGTGGATTACCCCGGGTAGTTAAAATTCCGTGTCCCTATTTACTGGGCAATAAACTCTTGCATTCAGTACTCAGGAACAACCGGTGTGCCTGATCGCTTCCGTCGAGTGCTAATGAGGTTAACGGCTCTCATGAACCATACGCAATTCCGTGTATGACGACAATCTTTTTTGTGATCAGATCAAACCAGTACAACTCAGGGCCGCGTCACTGTGTTGACCAATATTCTACTTCTAAACCTCGTGATTTACAGGGCATATATCCTCACGAATCGTTTGCCAATCAAGCCGTGTCCTTCTAGACACCTAATCACGCTGACATGTAGGAACCAGCTGAGATCAATTTCAAATATACTTCCAGCCTTATGTGCAAATGAGGGTATTTTGCAGGCACACTCCAACAGCACCCACATATTGCCACTGACTCGACAAAACAATGTTTAAAGAGAATTTTGAGTTTGTATGGCCTATTGTGACCTATAGCGTAATGTATCGGAGTGATAAATCACGTACTTGGAATAGTCACTCGTTTAGTAAAAATCAACATGAAAAGTTGAATTCAGAAAGGATTCTTTACCAGATTTCGTTCTTTTCAACGCTTTGCGATTAAAGTATGGTGGAGCCTACCTTCCCCCAACCTCATTCACACATCAGACACAACTAATAGGCCACATTGATGGATTACTGCAGACAATTTGATTCAACATTCCAACAACAAAGCACTATTTAAGACTTGAAAATGGGGCGACTTTCGAGAAGGTTCGGCTTATAAAAAAAATATATTAACTAATCGCTGACATCCCTGTAGTGAATTGCGCTACATTCGTTAAATCCATTATTGCAAGTAAACATTGAAGGCGACATCAGCAAAAGAAAAAAAGCACAAATCACTTCGCATTAGTACTAAAAATAATAATTCACGAAATGAGCAGACATAAAAGAGGCATCGGTGATAAATGTTATGAAAAGGTGATCTAAGGACGCTTGTTAGCAAGAATATTTGGGTCGTTGAAGAAGATTGTTTCCTTCATTTCATGCGCCATAAAACCTTAAAACTAGAAAGAAACATGGTACAAGTCATACCAAATTTTCGCGCTCTTTCTATTAGTGTTGCAACACGCTTTTGCATTGGAATGCATAGACCCGTGATATGTCGACCATAAACGCGACCGGTGTACGGAGACACAAATTGGGATAAAAGTTGGACATTCTAGAGGAAATTAGAAGAAAAGACAATACCTTATAATCCAGCTCAATATTGTTTTTACAAATAAAACACTGGCGTTTCGTTGGTTTGTATGGATTTTCAATATGGATGGGCTATAACCATACATTAGGTCAAAGCAGTGTACCATATCATTTGACTGAGAGGCGGCTGATGAGACCAGTCTTGTGCAGCGAACAAGTGGACTAAACATTAGACTTGATCTAGGCAGCAAGCACATCATGTTGATGACTCTAAGCCAATCAGATTCAGAGGCCAAAGTCTCGAAATGGTGATAACAGGTTGTACAATTATAAACAAATCAAATGCAATTGTGAGCAACCTTTGCTCATAAAATTTAATAGTTTTTACAATCCACAATACAAATCGCAATTTTAAAATTATGGTTTTCAGTCTTGCTTGCGTTGCTTTTAATACATTTATCTTTATCTATTTGGAATTGCCAATTAAATGACAATTAGTAATTATTTTCTTAATTGCAGGAATAGCTTCCTCAGTGCCAGATTGGCAAATGCCATTAAAGATAGTCGGTTTTGTTGCTTAATTTCAAAAATACGTGGTTTACAACGTTCATCATTACAGGTAAATTATTAGGGAAGCCAAGTTATTATGATTAGTCATTCTGTCTTTATTTTGGCATATCAAAACTGTTTACAACTATCCTTCTTTACAGTATATACACTAGACGCTATTTTTAATCTTACTACATAAGAAATTCTAGTTTTGAATATATGAGTAGTCGTTTATTTAAGACGCAGTTTTTATTTATATTTTCCGCATTTTAATTAAGTAGGCGCTAACACCCTGTTTCCTTGAACCATAATTTTCCTAAAGGAAGTAACCAAATATTGAATGTTTTTTTACCAATATTCCAATGCGATTGACGTAACAAAGAAATTGTGAAACATAAAATTGGTGCCCCGTTCATTCAGTCGACTAGAATTTGGTCTAGATCACTTGATCTTTACTTTCATTATCAAAGTTTTATTTTGTATGTAACAAATTCCTTCCGCTTTCATGTCCTGGGAATTAAACAAATATCAGATATGAGTTTGAAGAAAAAGTTAATTAATGTGATGACCTATGGTCACCTTTTTCATCTCGATGCTCTCTGACCATTGATTTATATAACTCAATAGCAGAACATTTTTAGATTTATCAAAAATGGTCAGTGTTAAAGCCAAGACGGCCAAATTGGGGCACTGAAATTATTTAAAATTTATCTCATGATATTTCGAAGTCTGCTGAGTTATATATTTAATCCGACGGTCATGTTAAAATCAGAACTAATATTGCTTTCTTGACGAAGTCCGATAAATCAATACTGATAAGTGTGGACTTTGATTTAGCCATGGTGGCATGACGTTAGCATGTGATTTTGAGTGTTAATTGTGCTACCAATATTTCGAAGTTAATATACTGAACATTGGAATTCTCTCTGAATTCTTTAGAAGCAGATTGAATCTTGCCCATTATTCATTATTAGGATGCATGTGCATCCATTTTATTTTCACACAAAAAATGCCACCATGGAACTTTGGGAATTTCCATTGGTTCAAAAAAAATACGCTCACAAATAATTGTTGAGAAGGCAAAATACGTTATAGGATTGCAGGAGAGCTAATTGTCTACTATAAAATGTGCATCTATAACTCTTAATCGACTTCGACTTCTTCATACGAACCACATAATAAGCATGCAATAAAGGTGAGGAACTATTTTCATCTGCAGTAATTCTTCAGATATTGCCAAACTAATAACAACTGGACTTTGGACTCAGGGCTGACTATGATTGTGACAAATGAGAAGCTCATTAAAATCACGCGTCTGAAACAATTGGTGATTCAAAAACGTGGTATTGAAGACCTCTAAGGTATATGCTATTTAACGTACTTATTCGTCGCTTGTGTCCTCGCAAACTGGGAAGACATATTCTCTAAATTCACAAACTTTTACCTCTTAGCATCCTTAAACCCTTGATCATTAGAGGGAAACTTATGGGCCCAGTTTAAAATGTAAGTGAAATTTACATGGACAAGCAATATTTTGTTGTTACCCAGAATATCTACCTGAGTCCGTAGTAGCATAATAAATTGTTTACATGTAGAGGATCTGTACTATCTTGATTGATGACATTATCCGACATTATATACAACTTTGAAGTTCGCATTATTACTTTTGATCCCATATTAAACTACCGAATTTTCCGACAAAATTATAAACAAAACACACACAGAGTGAAAAAAAAGGCTTGGCGCTGTATTATAATACCATCACGAGACATCATGGAGCATAGTCATGGAGGAACAGAAATAGAGATTAATAGATGGCGCCGCAATTATCTTTTCATTAGTGTTTAAGAGGAAGTCGATGTGCCCGCCACACCTTCACCAAGGAATCAACCAACGCATCGGTCATTTTGTCGGTGTGGAAGGGAGATGGTGCCAGGCGAAGACGTTCAGTGCCTTTCGCTACAGTTGGGTAGTTTATCGATTGTAGATATATCTGGTGGTTCCTCAGCAGATCCTCAGAAATGCTGTTGCACACTCCTGCGTCCCCCACCTGAAATTTAATCATACAAGCTCACCTTGGTTATCTTCAGATGACTTTAATAAAAAAGTTCATTGAGTTAGTAAAACGACACGTGTTCCTGCGCCACCGATTGGCTGTTGATCAAGTCTACCAGCCAAACGAAATGCAGTCGAATTTCAAAAATCAATCGATAATCGTATGCCAGGGCTTTACACTAGGGTCTAATCAGAGCGCAAATTTATCATGCACAGGGGTCTCAAAACCATTCAACCATTCACACCACAATAACACTGAGTTATGTGGATTGGAAGCCAAGCGAGCTACCAATTACCAAAGGGCCTAATAATTGTTTCAACATATCCAATATTATCGATTGTTCAACTGGGAAGTGATTTAACTTGTCGACTTTACGTGCTGATACGTAAGACAATGCTCCCTTTCACAAATCGAAAGTAGCTAATCGATACATTGCGGACGTCTGCAGTCAATGCCAGTTCCTTTACATTGGCCAGTAACTGAGAATGTTTCAGGAGTTCTAAGGAGTATTCACTCAAGCCCAAATAAGCTGTAGTCTTTTATAGGTAAGTAAAGTGCTCTACCGCAGCCCACAAACAAGACCGCGACAAGCGATTAACACATGAGGGGGCGTGTCTGATTACCCATGGGTCATCTTCGTGCAAGTTAGAGCACATTTCGAGCAAATTAACCTACAAATGTCGGGTTTGTAGGAGTGTGATGACCCATTTTTGCGTAAGGTCAGTCAAAACAGCCGCGCACTTGGAAACTGGTGAAATGTTTTGCCAAGTTGCCGTTTATGAAAACACGTCACTTGCAATCTGTTTAACATTCTAACGAAATCGTTCACAAATGAAAATGGTTGACCGAAAAGGCACCAGACCGACGTGCCACGTGTTCAAGGCCCTAGCCTCCAAGTTTTTACTCAAAGGTGATTGGTTATTGTACAAATGACCTTTTCTACACGGAGTTCAAAGTTGTATTCAAATTTAGTTAGAAAGGCATTGTTTTATTAAGAAGATTAAGGAGTGACTGGAGTGGGTCGAAGGACAGTGCACGTATTGAGAGTTCGCTTTTCATACAGTCACAGATTGAAGTCGTGAGCTGGTTACCCTGCCACGGCCTCGAGTCTCCCATCGTTTTGAATTAATTATATCAAACTAGACTGTTTTTGTGGCTACAGAATGGATACCTGTGTGCATGGGAGAAAGCAGTTAGTGTCTGTGTTCCGTGTTTATCTTAGCGTGGTGTTTTTGAAGATAACTGGCACGGGAAAGGGACTACGCGTGTCTCCGGCATCTCACTTATTTTGCTTAATGAACGCAGAACTTGGGTAAGTTCCATGGCAAAACAACGTCTAACCGTTGCGACAGACTTAGCTATTCTAATTGTTAAAAACAAACAATAGAGGTACCTGGAGTACTCAGTTGAGTGTACATTTCACGTTGATTCACGAAAACTGATGGCACTGGTCTCGCTTATTACCCCAACCCAATCTTTTCACAAAACAGTCTACTGAGTAACCAGGCTAAAACAACTCACGAAAATGGGTATAATGTGTGAGGGCACGTCTGCGGCCGGCAGCCCAGCCTCCTGCAGACGTCGACGCACGATCGCAACGCGTTTTTTGTGCTCAGCTCGGAGCTGGCGTCCCTCCGAGGATGCCAGAATGGCGACACTGGCTCGGGCTGCCGCCAACACCGGCGGAGGCAACGACGTCGTGAAAATGAGACCGCCTGCGTAGGAACGAATGGTATCAACAAGGACTCTGTCCCCAACCAGGTAGCCGCCGATGCTAGCAAAAGCCTGCAAAAGAAACCAGAGCCATAACACGGACGCAGGAACATACATCGGGTAAGGTCGGTCCAGGGTGGTTCCCCACCGAAGCTCAACGCTGATTGGGTGTTAATGAGGAAGGGTAGGTACCTTGCCAAGAGTGCCGGTGATCGCATCGATGCGGTGCATGCAGCCAAGCTCTTCTGCAACACCCGCGCCATGCGCACCGTACAACCCCACCGCGTGCACCTCGTCGACGAAGGTGAGGGCGTTGTGCTTAGCGCTGACGTCCAGGAACCCCGCCAGTGGAACAATATCGCCTAGAAGGTAAAACAGACGTCGCAAAAAACACGAACTTCGATTCTCCCGATGCTGTGGGAATACGTAACCGTGATCTACCTTCACCGCTCAACAACTTATGTCGAATTTGAACAGAGAAAGCGTTCAGGGTGTTGCAAGGTACTCCGAGAGCTGAATCACATCAAAGGGATCGCATATGGTATGCAAGTAGTTCCAACGCATCGAGTAGTAGTTCTGACATTTTCAGCCGAAAAACAGACACTGGTGATTGGGCTGTTTCATGAAAGTGTGGCGGACAAGATCACCCACGGACGCCCACTCACATTCCACTGGTTTCCACAGACAACTGCCCACGGACATTAAAATGACACGTTATAGACAGTGGGTAAATAAACGGTTGTGTCCACAGAATTAGTAAACAGGTTAAGTGCATGTGCTCCACGCAAACTCACCACTCATTGAGTGGACAGTTTCACAAACCGCCAATTTGGGGTTCTCCGGTGAGGCATGGGATCCCATCAAATCGTCAAGATGGCCAACATCATTCTCACGGTAGATGTACTTGGCCGCCTTGCTAGTTCGTATTCCGTGGATAATGGAGGCGTGATTGCCGGCATCAGAGAAGACCTTCAAACCGGGAATCAGCGTGCCGAGGGTGTAGAGGGCAGCCTCGTTGGCGACAAAGCAGCTCGTGAAGACGAGGCCCGACTCCTTGCCGTGAAGGCTCGCCAACTCGTGCTCCAGGGCCTCGTGCAAGAGGGTGTTGCCGGAGATGTTCCGCGTTCCCCCGGAGCCCACACCGAATCGATCGATTGCATTTCTGGATATGAAATCACAAGATTCAAAGCAGAAAAAAGACGATTTACCAGCGAAAGACGCGTGAATTTAAGCGTCAAGTTGGAATTTTGACTAACTGTGGTACTGAAAAAAACATCAACAATAAATTTGAATGTTTATTTACGAGACAGAAAGCGTGGGTGAAAGATGTGGGAGATAATGTTTAGAATGTCTCGTGGCAATGAAACCCAAACAAGCGTTGTGTATACGTTCAACTAAAACACTGATTTAACAAAGTCGCTTAGAATCCTTGCGTTTTTAAACAATAGAATGTGTGCTTCTTATACCGCCCAAGAAAGGGTATTTTACGCGCTCATTAAACCACAAAAATATCGGTAAAATTTGTGGACAACAGGTGAGTTTGTCGGCCTGAAGGAAAAAACCCAGACTGTTTTATAAATCGACTTTGCAAAAAAATGAACAGCCACTAAGTGCTAAATCACCTTGCGCATTCGCGAACTTTAGGATGCCTGCTCATTCCAAGGTAGTCGTTGGAGCACCAGACGTTGATTCGTTGAGGTTCACCGGTAGAAAAGTCGTCCGCGAACGGGTAGTCATTGACGTCTCTGAGGATTCGTCGGAACACACGATACGTCGCTGTTGTCCGCTTCTTCTCCAACTGCTCCTCGAAGAACGCGGTGTAGTCAAAGACCTCTGGCGATGCGTTGGCACTGTCTGCCAGTTCTGCCTGCTGAAGACGCGGACGAGCGTTCAAAGTTGATGCTGACCGTACAGGCTGCACAGGTGTGCAGGAATTGAGGGCGCAGGTTGAGGGTACAATGCATTCACCTTGACAGCAGAAAACAGCTATTAGTAGCCAAAAACGGCCCCTACACCGCCATGTACCCTTCTAATCAATAATTAGTTTTTGTTATTTTTGATTAAACTCGGTAATAAAAAGGTTCGGGTGTACAGATTTAGGGTGAAATCAAACAAGGAGCCTTTAAAGAGGCTTACAAAAACCTTTTTAAGTGAATCATATGTAAGTGAGGAGTGGTTTGCAGATGCATTGCGATCAGACAGACCACAGTATCGGATATCGTCGACGAAAGGATTCAATAAGCGAAAAGTGACTCCCGACCCAACATGTAGTAAGGATGTTGCTACGGAATTATTAGCACAAAAGCAAAAATCAAACCCTCTATAGACCAGTTGGTCAAAATCTAAATTGCGATGAATATTTGTGGTAGTGGACCAGATCATTGCCATCTAATATATATGAGTTTTACAGCCTGCCTTCGGAGTCTCAAATAAGTTGAAAATCTAGAGACTTGCAAAAGATTAAAGTGAACTTGAAGGCCAGTTAAAAATCGAGGAGGCTCTTTTTCAAAACACAACTAATTCAAGAAAACCATTGCTAAATAAAGGTATATGTAAGTAGATCTTGCATTAATTGACTCGTTTATAAAGTCTAATCCATTTTGCTAATAATACAGGGTTTTAACACAATTAAACAAATAAGAGTAGAACATCACCAATTCCATCTTCGTGAACGGAAATGCTTCTCCTTTCTGCGTAAGGACAGTGACCCAGAACGCATGCGTCCGTATCATCTACCAAAATAATGACAGGTAATTAAATGATATGAACATTTAGATATACTTAAGCACGCTGTCGATGAAAAACGTAAAAACAACTGAATAATTTAAAATCTAGTCCAAAAGTTGCATGATAAGCTTCTAAACTAACCGCAGACAGGTGGAAATACAAGTTGAGACTTGGCGGCTAAAGAAGCAGTGTGCGTCCTACGAACAAATTGGACGAAGACGTTCTTGGCAAAAAGGCTCTGATAAACGGTGGACATTAGGGGCTGGACACCAATTTGAGAGAATTCCACGGAAAGATATTTCAAAAATTGACAAGAGCGCATCTAAAGAGCGGGAGTGTGGATTACAGTAGTAACAAATCAAACGCGAAATCAGCCCATTGTCAGGGTAGAACGGGAAGCAGTAAGATATTTAAAAAATATATTGTAATTTTAATCAGACGCGTTTTTTTCGAACTGACTGATGCAGTGTTCAATATCAATTATTCGAAATGAAGTTAATAATAACAATAGAGTATATGAAGCCTCCAGGCTAAAACGGGGCTGAAAACACCAGATACTAGTTACCATTTCCTAAGTAAGAGAAATATAACGATTATTTTAGAAGTGGATATTTCCAAGCAGATTTAAAGAAATCAAAGTAAAAGGTGGATTTGAAAATAATGCAGAATAAAAATGACGTTAGGGTAGACATCATCATCTAATCAATTAGACGACTCCCAAATATACCGAAATGAGGAACCATTACATTTGAAAATAAATACGCAAAAAATAAAACTGAAATTATCACTAAAGTTCAACATTCAAAGAAAACCTGCGTCGAACTAAACAATGGTGCAAATTAAATTGTGCATTAAATCATATTTTCAAATGACCTTGAAACCAAGTAGACAATTCATTGGTTCTCTCGTAACTTACTGATGTAATATAACTGCTTCGAATAACTTTTATTTTATTTGTGATGACGCAGCTAATAAAAGTTAGAACCTAATTTTTGTCGTATTGCATTTATTTAAATTTGAACGACATATTTTGATTTGCAATTGCGGAAGATTTGGGGCCATAAATTAGACTTCAAGAAAATAAAATATACATATATAGTTCGAAATTTATTCACTGTTTAAAAATTTCACGTCAATAAATTGTTTTTTCTTTAGTAGACAAATTTAACTAAGCCCTATTCTAATGTAAAAAAATTTAAATTTAGCGTAATTTTATGGTTGGTAATAGCAATACACAGGTATTTGCAATGTCAACTTATGCACTCATCCAACAGGGACCTGCAGAACCTGTTCCGGAGGGTCTTGAACATGACATACAACTTGACCTAGAGAGCAGCAGGAGTTACCATGAGACTTCTATTTAGGACATAAAGTCAGAGTTCTGGCCCATATGTTATTTCCTGTGGCCAGCTATAAATATAGATCTGTGATGTTCGCATCCGGCGAAAGGTACTTAATAACAAAATTAGCCTGGTTATATTTGGTGATGAAAAATAAGGTTTAGGGGAGACATGGTTTGGCGTAGATTTGATAAATAATATATTATACATTGACATGCTTGCTTAGTTATTTTGCGATATCTTTTAGCTTCGACTTACATGCCATTCGCTATTACTGACCATTATTTTGATTAAGTTCAGCTTCATGAACATTCTGCACCTTGTGCTAATGCAGGTTCATTATTGACTTACTTTAAACACTGCCGTCGGCACCAAGACCCACTTAATAATGTTTAAGAGATTAAATGATACCATTTTTAATTTAGGCAAAAACTTAAGTATAAAGCATTCATAATTCCACATCGTCATCCATAATTTTCATCCAAATTTATCAAAATGCTTCCATAAAAGCCATTATTGTCACATGTTTCTTGCTTCTCTGCAGAAGTATATTCAGACGCTTAATACGGTAAACTAAACGATTTCCTGTCATGTCTTAATATTGCTACAGCTACTCAAATTACCACCTTGCATTCCTTTAAAAAAGCCGCTCATGGCTGATAGATAGGTGTCTTCCGCTTATGCAATGGAATTTATTTTGAAATTTAAAACCCTAATTAATACATTTACTAACAGCCTTTTCACATTTTATACTTAAAACAACTGAGAAGACGTTTATCTTTAAAGAATACTATTCTCTGCTATCATAAATAGATAATAGAATAGGACCTGGTTTAATTTGCGTCATTTAGATGTATCACCAACTACCTATGTGAAGACCAGTCCAATTTCGAATCCTGTAGGTAGCATGCATGAGTTTTTCCGATTTCACACATCCTCACTGGGATTGGCTGAGCACATGCACCGCTAAGCCTTGCGTAGCTGTAGCCTACAATATCACAATTGCGGCTTCACTATCTGGGTAATGATGATAGCTTCCAATTTTTGTGCAGTTTAAAGTGCTACTAGTATTTTACCTTAGTAGAAAATCAACCTTAATTATTTACAGTTAGTATAATATTAAATGGAAAGAAACTGGGATAAGGTTAGGTAAATAAAAAGGGAATTGTAATCAGTTCACATCTAGGCTTTTAGAAGACTCAATGAATGGACTAGCACATCCATGCTGTGCTCATAGAACCAGATGACGTAGGGCAAACATTTGCGATGGCTGTACCAACTTTTCTTAATGTCGAAAACAATTGATGGAAGTGCTGTCTGTTTACGGGAGCGTTTTCTAGTGATTTCTCTTGGATTCATTTGCCAGTGGATTTTGTCCGTGCGCTCAATGACTTTCATAAAGTCGATCGCTGGGTGAAGAATCAAAATAAGAGTTATCAGCGTTTTATTGCCCGCTTTTATCATGCCAACCATTCATGTGCGTCGTGAATGTTTTGCCCAAACGTTGTTCCCGTTACTTTGGGATTCCAACGAGATTTCAGGACCACTGGCCCACCAGGCTTTTGTCACCATGATCGGCTTGGGTTACTTCATCATTACCGAGTATACCCTTTCCCCGTAAAGTATTTTATAAGGTATCACTGGGAAAGAGGGTCTTTCGTAGGCGCGACAATGTCACATATTTTCATTTTTTTAAAACGAAAATTTTTCCCAGGTCCAGCAATGTGTTCAAACCCTGCTTCCGCTTCGTCACAAGTAGCGCCTGAACTACCTGTGCTTCGCGTCGATGATCCTGACATTCTCAATGGTTACACCACCCACAACCCTTATTGCTTTTACTTTAGGTACTAAGCGAGAACCGCTCTTCGTAGATCGAAAAAACGGAGTGATATTTCGCCAATATGAGTCCGAGGCCGACCTTAACTTTATTGTGCCGCTCATTACCAAAGACCTGTCAGAACCCTATTCTCTGTATACTTACAGGTACTTTATTTACAATTGGCCGAAACTATGCGTCTTGGTTAGGATCGTTTTCTCGCAACCATTTTTTAATTAGGCCACAACAGAGGACGGAACTTGTATTGGGGCCATCGTGTGCAAATTGGACTATCACGAGCAGGTGAAGCGCGGGTACATCGCTATGCTTGCAGTTGAAAAGAGCCACCGTAAAAAGGGTATCGGGTCCATGCTAGTCCAACTCGCCATCGATCTCATAATCAAGGATGGAGGTCAGGAGGTGAGTACCCGATGCAGTTTTACCTGTGGTGTCTTCATTCAAGTAGATTGTTACCCACATATTTACCACCGAGTAAATTATGGTGGTTGAACAACCACTCACACAGCGTTTGCAGGTATAATAGAGGCTGACTTACTTCAGCGGTTATCCTGCATGTACATGACGCGGTAGAATGCCCATGAACGGTAGACCAACCCATGCGGCCGAACACGTGCCGTAGCATCTTCGAAATGCGCTAAAACGTGAAAGTTCTGTATTTAGGTTGTCCTTGAAGCCGAAGTCAGCAACAAACCGGCTCTCGCTCTGTACGAGCAACTCGGGTTCTTCCGGGATAAATACCTCTTCCGCTACTACCTCACCGGCACAGACGCCTACCGTCTCAAGCTGTGGCTGGACACACAGAAGCCAGAATAAATCTCGTTTCTCAAATCTCAGAACTCTGCCTTTTCAGCTCCGAGGGGAAGTGGGTCACAGGCAGTAATTACACAAACTGCACACCCAACTACCACCAACTCCACAGTGGCACACGCAGATGACAGAGGCAACATTGCCGAAAACACCGTAGAACTCGAGTGTGCCGATAGCCAAGTTTGATTCCAGTCAAACGAAACAAAATCATTGTGAGTGGCGGTCACAAAACCATGCGGTTTTCTCCTGTTAGTCAAACCTCCGCGGCTGGACGCGATTATCTAATAACTGAATTTCTCAACCACGACTCATTGACCACATATGTCGTCACTACGGAATCTAACAAGCATCTACCGGTTGGTTGAATCTGACCAGCACTCCGTCGCAGCCAAAAGTTGTATGTCCACGCGTAAAACAGCAGTTTCTAGAATCATGTCAATGGGAATTTGTATCAAGTCGTCACAAGTAGCAAATAAGTATTATGCTCCAGATCGGGTCTCACTTGGAAACGCCTAACGCAGAGGGCTTTACCACGCCCTCCAGTGTCCACAATTGATTTATGTGAATTAGCAATGCCGAAGGCAATCAAAATGTTAGTGATATCGGTAACACAGACTAGTAAATGCATCGTACCAAGCACACACAACCACAACTTCCACGCCGTAATGGGGCAAGATCACAAATGAGCCAGTGAATCCTTCAGTTCCGTCGCATTGAAGCTATGGCCATCTATTTGAAGCCTTTTCACTGCGAGTTGTGGTGCTGTGCTAGTCGTGGTTGGTTTCTGAATATGGCTAGAAGATTTTCCTGGTGGTTCGGTGCTTCTTGTCTTGCTGATAAATTTGTCGAAATTCATGCGAATTACCTCAGCCGCACAAACGTAGTGTCATGCCGAGCACTACTACCACATTCAGTTCACCATCGTTTACTTCACAGTCAATTCTGAAGAATTGAGCCTAGTATACTACTAGTGGACCACTGCTTCCACATTTTCAGTTGCATTCATGTTCTGTGACATAAACTGACATATTCTTTATCTGTTACGGCAATAAGTCTGACCAGTATGCCGTGAGACATTTCAGGTAGCGCTCCCTACTCGCCGACATTCAATCTAAGCACAACTACCTTCGAGAACTTCTATCGGCTAAATGGTGTAGATTTAGTCAATTTTCTTGAAAGCACTGTGGATATTTGCATTTGATCTTACAAATCTGTAGTGAAGTACCTCAAATTAATTTCATGCAAGACCACATTGATTACGTAGTCCCTCTGTGCGTACTTCGCCCACAATCATCACATCAACTAACGTGCACGCCGTCATATTCGCCTAAATGTGCTCGCCTCCGCTTTGGTGTGTCTGGACTTTCAGACAAGGGCATCCATGTCATAGCAACAGGACGCCACACTTTTCGCCTCACGGGACATCCCAATCCTCGCGGTTCAAAATTCGGACACCTGTTTTACTGCTTTGCAGCCTACCTTCGTAATGTTCACATGTGATTGCATACGATTTTTGGTCTCTATCAGAAATCAACAATCGATTTCAAATTCCTGAAGAGGTGGTTATGTTGCCAAGTCCTTGGGAGAAAACTCAAGGATTTTACCGACTACCCTAAATAGCTCCACTAGCTGTGTGCCAGAGCTTTGGCACGATTTGATTGCGTTCGTGTTTGCTGGGAGGCATTTAGCTCATAACTGGCACAGAACAGACATCGATCTCGATATTGGCGAAGGTCTTGAGAAGGAAACCTGTTGCCTAGTTCGAAACAGGACAAGGGGTGCCGAAGACAGACCTCGTTCAAGCCGGTCGTTCCTGTGAGAACAAATCATTTGGGTTTTCAGATGGCATTTCTTGGAGCAAATCGGCCACTTACCTAGCAACATATCTTGGCAACCGTGGAATAAAACGTCAATTCATAGAAGATTAAAGTGCGATGTTCTGGTTGCAAAACTCAAATACGAACGTTGGAACTGTACAGGGAATAGTTAACTGAAATGCTGTTTTCAAAACAACGCTTATGCATTGGTGCGCATGTGAGTTTGTGGACAACGCACCATTCACATGTTTCCTCCAACGATACGATCATCCACATTTTCAAAGAGCGTTGATTAGAGCGTTACGTAGTTACCGCAACACACTGTCTTACAGCCAGCCGGAAATCGCACAGTTTGACTCGCACATCCAGCGAAAACAGCCATTCGCCTACATTGAGACTTTAGTCAGATTTTTATGTACATCAGACGCTATTAACAGTTTTGCGAATTAGTGAACACCGTAGTCACCAAATGTGCTGATTTGTTTGCACTACCTCATCACCCAACTGGATGCATCGTTTTTCGGCTATCAACCGACGTCGAAATCGATGGTATCTAATTGATTTCTGATCAGATTTCATTCACGCTCATTCACGGAAAGCTCAATGCAAACAACTCCCGCTCGATTTCAAGGCGTAAAGGTCGTGGTTGTGCTCGCTTGACCCGATGTTGTACCTGCTACTGTGAGCTAGTGATATCGCCTGCATTCTGATTTTCTTCGGCGTTGCTAAGCAACTCGTAGCATTTGCAGCCTCCTGAAGGAGCGTAAAGCGGTGGCGGGAATCGTGGTAGAGTCCTCTGCATAAGCCAATTCCATGTGAGCTTTTGATCTTAAGCACGATGCTTATTTGATAATTTCGACGACTTGATACAAATTCCAACTGACATGATTCTGGCAACTGTTTCGCTAAAGAATGGGCAACATTTGGAAGCGGCGTAGTGTTGGTGAGATTCAATCAACCGGTGAGTGCTAGTTGGTGTTCAGAATGCTGACGAGTGTAATCATTGGGACGTGATTGCTGCACCACGATCTCTGGTTATCTACTTACGCGCTTATTCCTAACTGAGTTGAGACACTTGGCTGTCAGACAATTACGGCCGCATCGCAGGATGTGAGTGACAGGAGAATACACGTTGGCGGTGTAACCACCACTTTGCAATCTGTCGCTGAGTTAATAGACGATGGCACGATCGACGAATGGCCTTGATTAGGATGTTATCAACTTTGCCGGGATGGGTCGACTTTGAGCAAAATTCCTAATGCAGTTTGTCCTCCTGCTGTGGTGTGGCGTCGGATC